TATTAATATTTTGGGAAGTCCAGGCCAACTCCCTGGTTTTGCAACCCTCCCTGTCACAGATGCCTCTTTCTGGGGTTCTATTTAAACTCGAGAGTCCCAGGAGGAAGTTTTTCCCAAGTAAGTTGGAAGTAGTAAGTTAAATCTGTAAACTTTGAAGCTGCTGTTTAGTGCACGAGTGAGCTTGCTGGATTTTGTGTGACATATATAGATATTTATCATACAAGATTAATTAAATAAATTAAATAAATACATTTTATATATATATATATATATAAATATATATATATTTGTATGTATTCATGTATTCAATTATTTTATTCATTTATACCCACTTTCATACTATTTTCCTAATGTTTTCTTTTCTAATTTAGATTTTTAAGCTTTTCAAATACTTAAAAAAAATTTGGTAAACTAAATAAATTAATTATATTAATATATAAAAATATATCACATATAAAACAAATATTTCTCAAAATGTTAAATTATTTGAAAAGCTTATCCAAAAATATGAAATCAAGGCCTTTGTTTGAAGTACTCTGGAAAATCACAAAAATTTAGAAAGTATTTGTATTTTGCCTCTACAGGACTTGACTGAAAAAAAAATCCCATTTTCTAAAAAATTACTTGTACACTACTTTTCTCATGGTAGTACTTTCATTTATTTGTCTCATCAGTTTCATTGATTCACCATTCAATAAGCTTTAATAGGTCACACTAAATCTCTTGATGCCTTAAATAGGCACTAAAGAAAAAAAGGCATTGTGTAGAATACAGTAGAAGTAGAAGGTTAGCGTTACAATACTATATTTAGTTTACTTACTTTATACACTTGTTAGTATTCTTTTTAAAATACTTGCCTATTTAATTATCCTGCAATATAATTTTGCTGCTACACTATTAAATGCAACAATTTGTTCTAATATTTAAGATTTTGCTTCTGTAGTATTTATATAGATAAGTGAATGAATCATGAAGTGACTCATATGCAATATATCATCATATCGATCTTGCTAAAAAAGATGATGGGAAAAAGTAAATCTAGACACAAACTATATCTATATGGCACTCACTGTTGGCATCTAATTGCAATTTATCTTGATTTTTATCTTGATGTTTCATACAGAATATTGTAAAATTTTACATAAAAAATTTGGAATGGGAACTGCTTATTTTGTGTTAATTAATGTGTTAATGTGTGTTAGGGTTGAAGTTATGGTTAATGCTAGTGTAGACTGATAAGCCCTAATGATGCCTGAAGTTGTGACTTAGACTTAAGACTTTTAAGTCATTTTAGATGCTTCTATTAAATCAGTACACAATAGAGTACACAATAGAGTGATATTGCATCTTAAGCGAACTGGACATTTATATGTGTGTGTATATATATATATATATATATATATATATGTTTGTGTGTGTTTAATTAGTGTAATAACAACTACTAGAATGTGATTTTTTAGTATATGCATAAATGCACATACAAATGATTTGTGATAATTTAAATATAGATGCACCCCAAAATGAGGAAAACCCTCAATCTTGTAAGCTTATTGTCTACCAGAAGAAAAAGTTCATTTGTTTAAGATGTAAAATCAATATTGGAAATTGAAGCTATGTTGCCTTACTTAACCCCTTCATGATGTTAGGATGATTCATGCCACCCTCCACAGAGTATGGCTTTACACCGTTAGGACAGCATGAAACATCAAAACAGTTTGGTGTAATTAGGGTTACATCCCTGCTTATACAAGAGAGACCAAGGTATCAACTGATACTTGGGACTCCCCTCTGTCAACTGAGGTCAATTTTATTGACAGATAAATAGTCTAGGGGTAGGTATACAAGTAGCATTAACATAAGTATATGTTAGGGGATGGATTGGTACAGAGTTAGGTCTGGAGTTGGTAAAAAGTCAACATTCACTACCAAAAATCTATTTATTTCCTAGATATATGAGGCATTTCACAATCAGTACTGATACAGGAATTTATTTTGAGTTATTTTTTTTTAGTTGCACTGGATGTGTGAAAATGATTATGAGCAAAAATGTAAAAACATTATTTATTTAAACATCTTTCCCATTCTTAACATTTTTTTCACAGTTAGTGTTGTGTTAGACATACACATAGGATATTAAAAGTAAGCTATTTCTGTAAAATACAATATATAATATGTAAGAGAAACACTTAGATTATGGTGGAACAAACACGTAGCACAAATTCTAGGTTTTGTTTTGATTCAGAACTTGGACAGTTGTTTCTGTCCTTGAAGGTTAAAAAGGATCAAAAAGTGAAATCCTGACTACCATAAATTTCCACCATATCACTTTGTTTTCAATTTCTCTTTGGGTATTATTTCCAGGTGGAGAGAAAAATGCTATTACTTTTAAAATGTTAATGTAGATTGATTTTTTTCTTCTTTAGTCTCTTGGACATATCTTGTATTCATACCTAGAGGCAAATAGGCAAGTAAACCTCTTTATCATCTTTTATAGGTCCTCCATTGGGATTACCTACGTAACTGAACCATACTCTACCCTGAGGCATTTTCAGCTTTGGTTTCTCTAATGGGATGAGTTATGTAACTGCAACATTAATCACCCGGAGGTGATTTCACCTCTGTATCTTCAAAGCTATCAATAACTTTGAGAGTCCCGACAGCAGACTCTCCTAGCTAGACCCTCATCTTTTTACGTCTGCACTTTTATTCTGCAGCACAAATTCTATAATATATTTCTTCTCCTGAATATGAGGCATTTATATAATATGAGTAAAGAATATGTTAAATTAAGACATATTATAAATATCCATTGCTTGCCAATCATTTTGTAAAAAGGGTTTAATATGTAATAATCCACACATTTAGATTTAAGCTTATGGACATTTAGATCTAAAAAGCAAATGTCTTAGTGCCATAAACAGTTCCAAAAAAAATGGTGATACAATAACTTGTTGCACAATATAGAACCCTTATATACAAATATGTTTAATAACTTGATTTGTTAGTGAACATAAAAATGTACATTTGCATTTATTTTAAAAGATCTGTGATATTTCTGTGATATTTGCAATAGCCGTTGCTCCTTTGCCAAAAAAAGAGATTCTACAAGCAATATTATTAGTTAATTTGGAGGGTTAGTAGAAGGCAGTAAAGTAGTGGCATGGTATGCCAGACACAAAGTCTTCCCATAGAAAATAAAGGCTGAAGTTTTAGTAGTGGCTACATGTAATTCCCTATCGCTACTTCTGAAATTGTCAGATGTGTTTGAAACAAATAGTGACAGATAAGTTGTATTGGCTTGCCAGTAAATAGTAGCAACATGTATGGAGGTAGGTTGATTCTATACCTGCCTAGGATTCTTAGTGTAAATGTAATACATTTCCACACGTAAGTTGCTTAATCTGTCTGATAAATGCCATTTATAACATGATTTTCTTTGAGAGTTTTATAACTTGCTCAGATACACCGACAGACAGCTCTGATGTGTTGAGGCATGGACTCTACAAGTCCACCAAATGTGTCCTGTGGTATCTGGCACCAAGACATTAGTAGAAGATCCTTTAAGTCCTGCAAGTTGTGAGTTGGGGCCTCCATGGATCGGATTTGTTATTTCAGCACATCCCAAAGATGCTCAATCAGATTAAGATCTGGGGAATTTGGAGGCTAAGGAAACCCCTTGAACTGTTTGTCATGTTCCTTAACCCATTCCTGAAAAATTTCTTAACTGTGACAGTGCACATTATCCTGCTGAAAGAGGCCATAGCCATCAGTGAAAACCATTGCCATGAATGGGTGTACACATGGTGTGCAACAATTTCTATTTAGGTTGTATGAGTCAAAGTAGCATCCACAAGAATGCCACGACCCAAGGTTTCCCAGCAGAACATTGCCCAGAGCATAACCCTGCCTCTGTCGACCTGCTTCATGCTGCCATTTCTTCACCAGGTAAATGATGCACATGCACCAGGCCATCCACTGATCTAAAAGAAAACATGATTCATCAGACAACCATCTGGCTCCATGGTCCAGTTCTGAGCATGGTCCAATGCTAGTTGCTCCATGGTCCAGTTATGACACTCACATCACTATTGAAGGAGAATTCGGTGGTGGGCAAGGGTCATCATGGTCCATAACTCTGACCGGTCTGTCACTATGCAGCCCCATACACAGCAAATTGCAATAACCTTGTGTGTGTTCTACAAGTATTTGAGTCTCTTTGCTGTGCAAAGCATTACATATATATTAATTGTTACCACAACTGTTGATAATTTTCTTACACACAGTCAAGAGAAAAAGAGGATTAAGTGGTTTATTGCACAACATACACTTGTGTACTCCAATGGATAGTCAATACAAGCTTGAATTGTTATTCTCTAAAGTGAGAATTCAATGTGAATTCACAGTTTAATTAAAATTTAACCCAGAATAGCCACACTAAAAGCATGTACAAACATACAAAATTAAGCTCTGTGCTCAAACTCCCACTACTCCTGAGTGACAGCAATGACTATAGTACACATCAGCCCCAGTACATAAAATAAATTAAAAAAAATTAAAAGCACTCTTATGGCCATTAAAAAGTAAGCTCACCTGGGTGCGGAGCTTACCTGCCGAACCAACCAGATGTGCCTGTTAAGAGCTCCCGAGCCTGAGGCCAAGATTTTGAGTCTAATACCCAACCACCTGTTCATACTAGCTGCAGACAACAATATTATTGTCGGGGAGGCGATACTGCATTAGGGGATTCCTGACTCGAGGCTCCCCATTGCTGAGACCTCAACATCAACGCCTGCGGCCTGCACTGGTGGGAGCCGAGGAGAGACGTCCGCTCTCCTGGTTCTCTGACTGAAGAGGGAGCACTTTCCAATCGCCTCCACCCCTCCCCCCCCGTGGACTGGTGGGGGATATCATGGTCCCCGCCGATCAGTGTGGCCGCAATCCTAGAAAAACCAGGGGCTGCGGGGAAACCCTAAAGCTGAACAGGAGAGGCGGCACCCAGGATGGCGGATAGGCCTGACTCCACTACACGCGGCCTTAAAATGATATACCCTGAAGCAACAGGCCCTATCAACAAAGCGACAGACACGATCGAAGAGATCTTTAACAGATTTTGCGCAAAGCTGTCTCACAGAGCAAAGCAAACTGCATCACTACAAGAGGTAACCACGGGTGAACGTAAAAGTGACAGGAAGAGGCCTGGGAAGCCCCTTAAAGGCGGGAAGGTGTTCCATCCCATACAATACACGGATGCCATCCACCCGGACAAAGAGCACAGAGGGCCCTAATCGGCAAACAAAAACAACCCCCACGGAGGGCTGCATCACACCCAAGACAGCCTACACCGAAAGCAGGCAAGGCCTATCAGCACGGGAAGAGCCTACAACCCAGAGAGCTCCAAGCGCAGTTCCAAGAGATACCACCTCCCCCACAGCCCCGGGGCAGAAGGGACATCCCATTTTCCCGTCACCGCACCGCTTGCCACTCCGACAGAGGTCGGGAACAGAAGAGTAACTTCCACAGGAGTTATGACCAGAACCACCCAATGCGGCACACCTACTGCTGCCCACAGGCGGAGAACCAGGCTCTGCACACGACGTCCTCTGCTTTTGAACAGCGCAAGCCTGCCATTCCTGCAACTAACTCGGGACTCTAAAACCCCCCGGCGGGGCATTGGCTGAGGCCGGCACAGCTTTGAGGCACTTATCACTCAGGACTGAGATGTGTCCTCTGGACGAACACTGATGCTGCATGTTAGGGAGGCAGTAATGTCTAATTGTGGGGTGGGGGATTATCGCTTTAGTTCACTCGTACAAAGGTTGACAATAACTCAATCACAATAGGTTTAGAACAACTCGCAAGAAACACAGCCAGTCACTTTAATGCCTACCTTGAACCTGAGAGCTGAATAGCATCATCCAGACTAGTCACACTACCAAAGCATGCACCTCATTAGGCTAAATCACAGTTACTCTTACAATGCACACTACGACATTCTTACTGATATTACTGCCTGATACTGGGGTGACCCACAATAAACTATATGTACCTAGCCTGTACATCCTCATGCAAACAAAAATGTTTACTTAGCGTTGGAAATCTGTGTTTCAACCGACATGCCATTATAGTGTTACCTCTTTAGTTGATATCCCTGCCAATAAACATAACTCAGACCACACTCGTTTATGCCTAACAAGTAATACACACGCAGGACTCAGACTCACATCACTGTCACGGACGACTATGTTAGTTTATATATTAGTTGGTTAATTTTCATAAATCTTGTTAATGGTCACATAAACATAGGACAAGCAGCTTGAGAGATATAACAAAGCTATATACCAGCTGTAATGGATGGACAAGCGCTAACCCAATTTTGTCCTTCTCTGATAATAGCATGTATTGTTTACCACGCATACCATATTGGATTAACGCTTGCTTATTATTAATAGTATAAAACTGTGCTGACTTTCTATTTGCCATGTTTGACAATGTAAGATTATATTAAGCTTGTGACTGCTGTTGTGGCAACACAGGCACGTTTGTTATAACATGCACAATAAAAATAAAGAATTTAAAATTAAAAAAAAGTAAGCTCACCTGCCACATCAGGGCAAAACTCTTTGACGAGTCCTACACAAACAATTCACCTTCCTTCTTCAAACTGAAAGGTAAAATCTCTAATGAGATAGAGAGGGGTATTTTACTAAACCCCTGAACACTCATTAACCCTTAACAAGGAAAACATGGAGTGGGCGTGAGCACTGTAACATGGCTGTAACATACAAAATTAAGTCCTGTGCTCAAAATCACACTGTTCCTGAGTAGAAATGGTTATAGTACATATAAGCCCCACTAAATACAATGAAAACCAAAGTGAAAAGTTAGCTGCCCTCTATCCAACATCCATATGCTCATTTAAATAATAATAAATTACAAGCTTAGCTGACTTATAGAATGTCTTAATTTTAGCTATTTAGATCCTTAAATTTTAAATTCCCGTTATATTTACATTAATATACCCTCACTTTAGAAAATGTACAGCCAATATAGACGAAGTGTAAAAAATACTCAAATCGGCTTTGGTTCCAGTTCAGATACTTTGGTCTTTTTTATTTTGAATTCTCACTTTAGTGAATAAGCCTGATTGCGTTTCCACCGATGTTTAATGAGATATTTGAATAGATTATGTATGTGTTGTTTTTATAAAGGTTACATATCTTCAAGAAAAAAAGCAAGGCATTCCATGTAAAATGTAACAATAAAACAGGCCTTAAAAAAGGTATTTTCTATTCATTAACATAATACTTGTATTCCTTCTCCGAGAGGGGTATGTGTCACACAGCATCTACTAATCAAAACAGCGTTGACCTGAGTAACATAGTACAAACCAAGAAATACATGTAAACTGTGTTATTCATTCACTATGTTGGTAACTGTAAATAACATCTATAAACTGAAAATCAATAGAACAAAGGCTCACATTTACCTGTGTGCACAATAGGCAGCTAAAACCCATACCTGGCAGGCTCTAAATCATGTGGCACTCACAGTTTGAATCTTTGAAGACAGAAAATACTAGTACAGATGTGTACTTAATCTCCTTGTATGGCAACCAATTTCTATTACACTTCAAACGTGGAGAATATGGCACAGGAAAACAGACATATAATTCTACTACATTTCTAGAAATAAAGGGGACTTGTTAAAAACAAACAAAAACACTCTTTCAATATCCGCCTTTCTGTCTGTTTATCTCTCTATCTATCTTAACAAAGAAAGGATATCTTTCTATATATTTATTTATCTATCTACTGTCTGTCTATCTATCTTAGCATAGAAAGTATATTTAACTTTCACTAGTTTCTAAATTTGTCTTGGGACACAGATGTTACCATTATCCAATTTAAAGGGATACTATAAGTACTTAGACCAATTTATTTCAGTTAAGTGGTTTGGATGCCATGTACCGGTCTGTTTAACCCTGCGATGAAAAACATTTCCAATCTGATGAAACAGAAATGTTTATATTGCATGGTTAACATACCACTAGTGACTGTCTTACAGACAGCCTCTAGAGGTGCTACCACCCCAATGGCCAAGAGACCACATATTCTCATAGAGACCATCTGATTCATGCAGTATAGAGTATTTCTGCACATGCTCAATAGCGTCCCAATCTCTAGATTGGCTGAGATCATTTACACTGATGATCTCAGCCAAAGAGGCTGGGTGAAATCATGGAGGCCAGTGTGGTAATACTCAACTTTCAGACTCTCACATAGTTGTCAGGACACTGTAGTGTTAAGAATACATGTTTATGAATAAGATTTTGGTTAAATGTGTCAAGTGAATGGAGTTTATGCTGCCATATCTAGCCATTTTCCATCAGCTATCTTTGACAGTCCAACCTGACTCGCTTGACTCAAATTATTGTATTGATAATCCCTATAGTACATACTAATATTCTGATGATGTGATGTAGAACATCCAGCTTAAATCCCCCAATAACAGCACCCACAGCGTAAAAGCATTTTATCAGAATTCAAAGGTCGGAAATCAGCAAATGTTTTAATAACTGGAAAAAATGCTTTTCTCTAATTGTTCCATATTTTCGTTTTATTTTTGGATTACAATTATTATTATTACTGGAGCACATAGCCAACTGAAATGAATCTGCCATCAGGTGTCGTATGGCATGATATACTTAGTAAATATTTGGAAAACTATAACAGCAGAGACATATGAAATACCCACACAATCTGTGTTGTTTGTGAAAGCTTGATAATACCCTGCATGTTAGGGAGGCAGTAATGTCTAATTGTGGGGTGGGGGATTATCGCTTTAGTTCACTCGTACAAAGGTTGACAATAACTCAATCACAATAGGTTTAGAACAACTCGCAAGAAACACAGCCAGTCACTTTAATGCCTACCTTGAACCTGAGAGCTGAATAGCATCATCCAGACTAGTCACACTACCAAAGCATGCACCTCATTAGGCTAAATCACAGTTACTCTTACAATGCACACTACGACATTCTTACTGATATTACTGCCTGATACTGGGGTGACCCACAATAAACTATATGTACCTAGCCTGTACATCCTCATGCAAACAAAAATGTTTACTTAGCGTTGGAAATCTGTGTTTCAACCGACATGCCATTATAGTGTTACCTCTTTAGTTGATATCCCTGCCAATAAACATAACTCAGACCACACTCGTTTATGCCTAACAAGTAATACACACGCAGGACTCAGACTCACATCACTGTCACGGACGACTATGTTAGTTTATATATTAGTTGGTTAATTTTCATAAATCTTGTTAATGGTCACATAAACATAGGACAAGCAGCTTGAGAGATATAACAAAGCTATATACCAGCTGTAATGGATGGACAAGCGCTAACCCAATTTTGTCCTTCTCTGATAATAGCATGTATTGTTTACCACGCATACCATATTGGATTAACGCTTGCTTATTATTAATAGTATAAAACTGTGCTGACTTTCTATTTGCCATGTTTGACAATGTAAGATTATATTAAGCTTGTGACTGCTGTTGTGGCAACACAGGCACGTTTGTTATAACATGCACAATAAAAATAAAGAATTTAAAATTAAAAAAAAGTAAGCTCACCTGCCACATCAGGGCAAAACTCTTTGACGAGTCCTACACAAACAATTCACCTTCCTTCTTCAAACTGAAAGGTAAAATCTCTAATGAGATAGAGAGGGGTATTTTACTAAACCCCTGAACACTCATTAACCCTTAACAAGGAAAACATGGAGTGGGCGTGAGCACTGTAACATGGCTGTAACATACAAAATTAAGTCCTGTGCTCAAAATCACACTGTTCCTGAGTAGAAATGGTTATAGTACATATAAGCCCCACTAAATACAATGAAAACCAAAGTGAAAAGTTAGCTGCCCTCTATCCAACATCCATATGCTCATTTAAATAATAATAAATTACAAGCTTAGCTGACTTATAGAATGTCTTAATTTTAGCTATTTAGATCCTTAAATTTTAAATTCCCGTTATATTTACATTAATATACCCTCACTTTAGAAAATGTACAGCCAATATAGACGAAGTGTAAAAAATACTCAAATCGGCTTTGGTTCCAGTTCAGATACTTTGGTCTTTTTTATTTTGAATTCTCACTTTAGTGAATAAGCCTGATTGCGTTTCCACCGATGTTTAATGAGATATTTG